TTTTCAAAATGTTTTTTCTATTTTGCTGAATATCATTTCTTAGAAAGGCAATTTTTATTGGATGTGTACTTGTGACCAGCACTATACATGTTTTAAAAAAGAATAGAACTCTACAACAAACGATATTTTTGAGAAAATATTTCTATTACATTAAAACTAAAGACATATTCTATCAACCAATAGAGCTATTTTTTTAAAAGGTAGGACAGAAGTGACTTCTATACTTTTAAATTTTGCCCAAAATTTAGGAGGTCTTTAGACTGAGCCAACTATATCATTGTAACGACTGCGCCACACATTGCGCAATGTCACATGAAAAATTATTCCTATTCATATTTCTATATTTATATTTATTAACCTACCCATCTGATGCAAATATTTATTTAGAATTAGTAATTAGTTGATAAGCATATCATTGGAGGTAGAATAGCACACACCATGTTATTTGTACTGCCCCAAGAGGTATAAATACACTTGGCTTTAGACCAAGTTAAAAGGATCATTGTAATCATTGATAATATTGTTAATATTGTTGATAACTACCTTGATAACAATAACATAATAAACTCTTAATAAATATATATAACCATACATAAAATAGTCTTTGACTGTAAGTAACTAATAAGCCAGTATGGTGACCCCCAGCCCTTCTAATGATTAATGGTCTGACCAACCTTTAATTATTAGTTGGGAAACCTTTTAATTATTCAGATGCATCTCAAGGGGATGCCTTTGGATATAGTTAGTTAAATAACCTAGGGATCTTTTATCCAGGCAAGTAGGCTGTAAGATAAAAGTAATAGTGACAGTAAGTCAGTGGGTAGGTTGTGTGTCACATAAAATAATTGACCATAAGTCGGCGAGTAGGCTGTGTGTCAAACAAAGGAACTATCCAGGCAAGTAGGCTGTAAGATAGTGGAATCAACCATAAGTCAGTGAGTAGGCTGTGTGTTGAATGTAAAATAACCTAATAAATACATCAGGAAATTAATTTAGCATAAACTTGCATAAATCTCACAATGCTGATGTAATATTGTGTAAATCTTACAGTGCCGATGTAAGTTTTACACTTTTTTATTATTAAACTTACAATTGACATGTGTAAAATTTTTTTATATTTTCCGGATGTAGGAAACTCAGATCACATGCTTGCAATATCATGACAACATCAATGATGCATTTTGGCATTTAATATTAGTATTTAATATTAGTCTTTCATTATTAAACATTCTATTTATTATATTTTATTGGACAAATCATGTGTTGTTTGTAATACTTCAAGTACTGAAGTATAAATTCACTTAAAAATTTCCTTCGATTTTTTAATAATATACATTTGATAATTTGATAATAAAAACTGTAATTAATTAACCAAGCTGGTAGGGTTGATTAATAATCCTTTCTGATGATTAATGGTTTGGCCAACCTTTAACTATTAGTTAGGAACCCTTTTAATTTAACATAATGAATGCCTCAAGTAGTATATTTCTGTTTTTTTTTTAGAGCATATGAAGCTGGAAGAAAACTGAGACACTTGGCCAGAACTCACATGCAATAATAGTACATGTGCAGCTATAAAGAAAACCTTGCACTTGATCAGAACTAGGGTTTCTATTTAAATAAAACAAATAATTTGAATTAAGATTGAGTTGTGTGTATTATGAATAATTTGAATAAGAATTTGCATTACAAATTTACAAATAGAAACTAGCAGAAATGAGGTAAACTTTGAATTTTATTTATTGCAAGATATTATTACAATATTCAAATTAAATGTCAGTAAAAGTCCTTTGGCAACAAGCACTTAATATATAGGAAAAAATATGACATTATTAATTATTTTTGTTGATACAACAAAAAATTGAACAAGATACTTGGGAAATAGAATTTTTCCACAATGATAAAAATTCAATTACAAATACAACTTGAGAAAACAATGATGCTTCAATATAATAATGGTAAAAAATTATTTAATAAAAAATAAAAATTAGATTCTTATAAATTAATCTAAATGATTGTTTTTTAACACAGTGATTCTGATATTGAAAGCAAGTTCTAAAAAAAAAGGTTTGGTTGATGTGAG